TTTTTTTTTTTTTTTTTTGTCCAATTATATCAAATACTTCAACCATCCCAATTAATATCCCCAGCGAGTCGTGCAAAAAGAACGCAACTACGAGTCGATTCATGGCCAAGCACGAGCCATTAAGATGACATTTTATCGTCGCTGTTCGCGGAGATACCCATCCGTCGCGCAAAAACGCCAGCCTTTTAAATAAAATTAATTACAACTACTACGGCGTTCTTAAATCGCGGCTCGTCAAAAGCGCGGCTTTTTCTGACGAGAACGAAAGAAACACGGCCGAAAGGTGTTGATCTCTCGAAAACTGACGTGATCGGATCTCGTGACTTGGCTGGAATTCCGTAGTTTAAGGTACGAAAGGCAAGAAAACGCTTGGGTCAGTTGCTGTGACGTCAATGGACTGGCTGGTCCTTAGAAAAGACGAAGGAGATGGCAGGAAACTCGCAAAGACGAAGGAGATGGCAAAAACTCGTCGTTATGTAGGAGAGAAAAAGGAGAGTTTCGTTCGAATGGGAGTATACTTGAAACCAGAGTAGGGCGAATTTGATTTCCAACGTCGAATGAAAAGATTAGATAAGAAGGTTATTCGTTGGTCGTAGAATAAATTTTATCGAAATAGTATCGAAATAAATTAGTCTCATCTGTTCATACGCGTGTGAACATCGATTCGATAAATGACAAGACCTGTTCGGTCTACAATTTCAAACTCATTCCAATAGATTTCAAGTCCAACCAGACCGATCAGTCTTCCCATAAAATTTTTAAATATTTATTCAAAATGCATATTTATTTCTAATCAAAATATTAATGCCGCCTAGCCATCTTTTTTCCCAACTTTCGTTATTCTAACAGGAGCTAACATTTGCTTCCATAGCATCCAACCTCTTCTCAACGATACAAGGAACCATAACAACCAAAAATAATTTGATATAAGAGAAAGTACTTGTACTCCTGAAGTTAATATAATTAAATCTTTTACATGTCTGAAATAACATGAAAATGTCATTATATTTATCAAAGCTGTTACATCTAATAAAATGTTATATTATTTAAAGAAATTATTAGAATATTTTGTGATATTTACTCTGCTATACCTCCTTCCATATTAAGATCAATTCCAGAATCTAAGAGCTGTCCAGATTCTGAATATGTTACATGTGCTATATATTTCATAAACTGATAACTTCCTATATATATAATTGCAGAAAATACAGTTAATGTCTGTAATCACAATACATTATAAAACAATCTATATTGCTATATATATATATATATATATATACTATAAAATAAATATATATATACTATAAAAGTAACATTTTAAATATAAAACTCACTGTTGATAATGTTGAAAAATTAAAAAACAACATTGTAACAGTAAAATATATTGCTATTGCGCCAATGATCATATTCTGATAAAAATTTAATGTTGTTTTATTTTCTTCTATTATCTGTTTTGCACCTTTTGTTGCTGCTTTAGTTTTTTTGACCTAAAAATGTAGTTATAAAGCAATTTTTTTTATATAAATTGAATCTGTTATGCAATGATATGTTATAGATAATATGGAAATAATTACATATTCGAAATGGTTAAGTTGTAATTAAAAAACAAAAAAATAGTATTTTAAATAATACTCTAAGTAACTCACCGTCATTTTGTTTGTAAATTATATGTACAAGTATTTAATATATTTATATATAAATAATTAATATCTGTTTAATGATCAATACATGACACAGACTTGATATCATAAAAATTCAACACCGTCTAAGGTGTTAAAGCCACGTGAAAGATGTCATATGAAAACTCTCTAGGTTAACATTTCGTAATTTACAATTCAATATAGATACATAAATTTTATAGTCATCATATTTATTACGTTTCACGATCGTTCGAAATTTAAAGTTTCAATAAATAATTGTAAGAAGGAATTCAAATTTTTTACTACATAATAAAAAGAACCGAGTGTAGGAATAATATTCTTCTGATTATATGTATACATATATATTAATGGAATTGTCGAAATTCTTTATATCGATATAAAATTTAAAAAAAATATCGATATATATGTGTGATTTTCAAAAATATTTTTCATTGTTAAATTTATTTTCTTATATATAAGCTTTAATTATACGTTAATTATGTAAATAATGCAATTTTGATTTTAACATCATTTATTTAAAATACACATTTACGTTATTGCATATGAATTGGAATAAAAAGACATTATTTCTGTAACAAGAAACGTAATTATTAACGTGTATATATTAAAAAAAAACGAATTTTTACTCATTCTTTGTAATAAATAGGAGTAAGAAAAGAATAAAAAAACTTATATATTTTATTGAATTTCGTTTTATTACATCGTTAAGTCTAGAATTGTTTAATTTTATATATTTTAATATTAATTTAAATTTGTCAAAAGCAGGGGCAGTGATACATATAATATCAAATATTGTGACTACGATATATACTTTGCATCAAAATGAATTGCTTCAAATTTGAATACAACTTTCAATTAACTAGTCCTCAATGTGTTAAAAATTGTTCATGTATTATTTGTTCTTAATTTATAATATATTAAATGAAAAATTCGCTGTAGGAAAGTACTTTTTTAATGCATTTAGTCGCTTTATCATCCTATTAAAAATTTACAAATATCAGTACTATTGGTGCTACTACTCTTTAATTTTCTAGTAAAATAGGTTATGCTATAATACGTGTGTAAAGTTCACGTAATAATATACCATAATAATTTATATAATCTTTACATAAAAATACGCAATATACGTCAAAAAAAGAATGAAAAAATTAAATGACGCGTTAGTAGTAAAATGAATGGGAACGAATCGAAATGATCGGCTAAAATTTTTGTCCCTGAATAATTTCGAGTAAGAGAATTATCTTTATCGAGATTCTTGGACATTCATCGAAGAAAAAAAAAAAAATAAAACAAAACAAAACAAAACAATCAAATTTTTGATAAAATAAAGTATTTAAGAAAAGTCAAGTTTATTATTAACAGAATGCTATTATCGATCAAAAGAAAATAGTTTTGGTTTTTACAATCGATAATGATATTCGTTAAATCTAGTAAGTCCTACAAGTTTTGCTTTGTCATTATCTGAAAGATTCAAAACTATTTGATATTTCATGGTAAATATATATTAATCTTCGGAAAACAAAACACTAAAGAGCATAGTAGATATTCCTGTCATGACTTCTTTTTCTGCTTATTTTCAACGCACACAATGCTTTCTTTTACAATTTTTCGGAAATAATCTTACATCTATGAATAATCTTTTAATTTTTATTGATATTTTATCTACAATTTTTATAGATGACAAAATATGTCATTTTTAGTCTGTTATTTATTTTTTTTGTATTTTCTGAATTTTTATGTTACTTCAATCTTTTATTTGTAATGTTATTTACTTTTTGCTAGTGTTTATTTTTTCCAGTTCTTATGTCATTTAATTATAATACATTTACATATATAAATATATTTTAGGTTCCCTATGCTGTGAGCTTATAATGTGATATCATTGAGAATTTGTTTTTAATCCACAAGATTGTGACTATAATCATGTAGAATTTAGTATAAGGAAGATGACGCCTCATTTTGTAGCTCTGACACCCATAAGAAGACGATGTTTAATCATACTTTCAATAGTATTAATACCATGCGCCATTTTAAATCTTTTATCACCATCAGAGTTGCATGAAGAAACAGTCTTACAAAATAGTATTGCAGAATTACAAGCTAAATTGGAACATTTACATGCTAAATATGTTACAAGTCAGGAAGAAATAAACTTATTGTCACATCAATTATTGCAATTAATAGAGAACAATCATATTTTACCAGATCTTCAATTTTTACTTAACAATACTACATCAAATGTAACCAATATAAAATTACCATCTATATATAACTTTCTTCCTCATTTTTTGAATGATCCTAATAGTCTACGTCCAGCATTTGTACAGAGTAAAGGCCGTACTGGAGTTAGTATGGTACTTGGTGTACCAACAGTTAAAAGAGAAGTACAAAGTTATTTAATGGCCACACTTAAAAACTTATTGGACCGCATGAATTCTGTGGAGACAGCAGATACTTTAATTATTGTGTTAATTGCTGAAGTAAGTATCTATAAAGTAATAGCAAATAATTACTTAAAAATTTTCTGCTACAATTATTTTTATCTATATATCATTAATATATATATTTTTACAGACAGATTTAGAATATGTAACATATGTTGCAAAACAAATTGAAGTTCAGTAAGTTATATCTAAAAAATAGCAATGTTCAATATTATTCATTTCCTAATATATTTAATTTATTATTTTATATCTCAGGTTTCCAATTGAATTTGAAGCTGGTGTAATTGATGTAATATCTCCATCTGCATCTTATTACCCAGATTTATCTAAATTACGTGATACTTTAGGTGATGACCATCAAAGAGTAGTTTGGAGATCAAAGCAAAATTTAGATTTTGCATTTCTTATGTCATATGCTCAGACAAAAGGAACATTTTATATACAATTAGAAGATGACATTTTAGCTAAAAAAAATTTTATAACAACAATGAAATCTTTTGCACTACAAAAGATTGCAACTAAAGAAAATTGGTTTGTTTTGGATTTTTGTCAATTAGGATTTATTGGTAAGATATGTTACATTGATATGTTCATTGGTAAGGATAATTCTGAATTTATTTCGTATTCATAATTTTTTTTAGGAAAGTTATTTAAATGTGCAGAATTGCCATGGTTGATTCAATTTTTTTTAATGTTTCATAATGATAAACCAGTTGACTGGTTATTAGATCATTTGGTATCAACTAAAGTTTGTAGTCTTGACAAAGACAGCGTAAGTCTTAAATTTAACAATAACTTAGGCAGGAATATATTTTAAGAGTACGTATGTAATGTATTTATGTTTATTAATTTTGTGTATATTTTAGAAACATTGTAAAATGGCTAAGGCAGAATTATGGGTTCACTACAAACCCTCTCTTTTTCAACATATAGGAACACATTCATCATTGAAAGGAAAAGTGCAGAAATTGAAGGCATGTTAAGAATAAAATGATTACATGTATTGTATTTTTATTTTTGTTTCTATATCTTATTATAAATGTTATGTTTAGGATAAGCAGTTTGGAAAAATAACGTTATATTATGCACATGAAAATCCAGAGGCAATAGTAGAAACACAAATTAAACCTTACAAACAATATACATTACAAAAGGCCTACAAAGGTGAATCATTTTTTTGGGGTCTTTTGCCACAACGTGGAGACCATTTAAAATTCAGATTTTCCCACCCTATTTTTATAAAAAGGTATTCTAAACATATACAATATTTTAAGTAATAAATAATTATAATGTTGTTATTTTCAATTTTTATAATACAGGTACTTATTTAGAAGTGGAAATCCCGAGCATCCATCTGATAGATTTTATAACACTACAGTAGAGGTCTTTACAAAGATGTCTGCATCCATGAATAGAAATAGTAATGATATTACAGAGGATGGTTATGTTATTATAGGTATTATGCGATATTATATGAATGTGTTTGCATAATTAATAATATATATATATATATATGTATATAATATTGTTTATTGTAATCAGGAAAATTTGATGCACTTGGGATTGCTCAAGGCACAGTAGATCCAAAATTAGGAAAAGTATTGATATTTCGTTTGACAGTACACAGTGAAAGTGAAAATTGGGCCATCTTATCTGAGGTAATATTTATCAGTAAAGAATATCATTAAAATATATTACAAGTAGTATTTAAACAAATTTTCATATTTATTTTTCATTTTTTATATCAACAGATTCATATAGTCGAAGATCATTCTAGTTGACCTTCGGGAAAAATATTTCAAAAATTTTTTCGAGACCATTTACACGGATAATATGTATAAGAGTTAATTACTATTTTTAATTTTATTTTTGTGTCATTGATATTTTATAAATTAAAAATTGTTTTCCGCCGTCCACCATAAAAGATTGCTTATACGCTATTTTAATAGATATAATTTTAATTTACAAAAGAAATTTTGTTTTTAAGAGATCAATTATCATTGTGTGCAATGGAAGGATATAGATATAAGTTCGTAAAAATATTTAATTCATTTTTTAAAACTTGTTTTGGAATAACGTACGCAATTTTCGACCAATTTTACCAATTCTCTACTTGAAACAGTACCTGCGTAGTTAATATATGTTATTTCATTTATTAAAGATCAAACTATTAAAGATTAACTACTTATAATTTTGTGTATTTTTTGTAAGTCAGCAAGAAAGTTCTTATGACTTGAATCTTTCTCTCGCACAATATTATTGATAAGAATTCCATATACTTAACATCGTGTGAAAAATATCATGTTAAAAAATAAGTGCCAGACTATTTTAAGAAATGTTAAGATCAAAGGAACAAATAAGTGATTTATCTTTCCGTAAAAAAAAAATCGTCGAACACATATACCTTTGTAATATGTGTAATTATGTGCAATTTATATATTTTCTGTAATATATTATTAAAGGAATAATATTAAAGTCTAGATTCTGATACTTGTTATATTTTAAGAAGCGAACGGTGATATGAAGTTTGTATTGTTCTTGTATATGTATTATTTATTTCGTATAGCTTCTTTACACATACACATATATACACACATACATGTATTTTCATATAAAATAAAATATATTTTTTTGAACATTAAAATTATTTTGTCTTATTTTGAACTATTGTAAATACTGTACACTATTTGCTACTTACATCTACATTATCAAAAATGATTTTATAACAATTTTTTGATATTAATCATACCATATAAAGATTGATCTGACTAAAATTAATATTAAAAATTACTTTTGAAGGAAAGCATTATTTTAAATGCTTTCGAATATATTTACGACCTTAGGGAAACCATTACCCTGAATGGTTTAGGACCAATAGTAACTCCGTCGACAAAATCTTGTACTGATGGTTCTTCTCCAGGTACTGTAGAAAATGTAAATGCTTGTAATAGAGTAGTAGCTATAACAAATGTATTGTTTCTAGCTAAATTTTCTCCCATACAACGATGTCTCCCTATTATAAAAAAAAAAGAAAATGGTTAAACACGTGTTTAATTAAAAAAGAAAATATTGATTGTATTTTTTATTTTGAAATATGTACCGAGACTAAATGGAAAGTACGCGGCCGGTGTAATGATGTTACCACTTTCATCTATAAATCTTTCTGGTCGAAAGTCTTCGGGATCACTCCATGATTCGTCCATTAATATTCTATTGAAGTTCACTATGAGCATCGTATTCTAAAACAATGTGAATTACATTACTTTCTTAAAAAATTTCATTGTAAATATTTTTTATTATATCAGATATTTACTTTTGGTATTTTATGACCTAATATCGTAGTATCTCTTTGCGCTCTGTGTGGTATATTTAACGTACGCCCTATGAACATTCTGAATGATTCCAAGACAATCGCGTTCATATAA